AAAGAAAAATGATTCAAAAACTACTCAAAAAGATGCCCCAAAATGCTCAAAAACTGGCCCCCAGACTATTTTTTGACTATTTTTGCATACGCCCCCTGTAGATGGACAGGCCCGACTTGAGACCGGACCGCGGAAGCGGCTCGGACGCGGATCGCATCGCCCACGGGACCTCCCCGAGGCGCACCGACAGCGGGCCGCTCCCTCTTCACACAAATCCATTGAGTCAGTGCATCTCACCCTAAGAAGCGCGACGAACGACCTATGGGCATGTGAAAAGAACCACTCGCGCATCCTGCTTACAACCACTTGCAACGATAAAGAATGCGACAAAAAGTGATCAAAGACGGAAACAACAAAGAGCAGTCACTGAGAGCGTTTTCAAAAGAAATCGCCCCATCAGTGTACGGATTGCGCCAAGTGTAAACTTAGCGTCGCCCAGTTTGAGGAACACTCAACTGAAATTCCTATTGTGAAAAGGAACCACCCTCCATCCGTGCAGCTGCTATATATGTTAAAACCGCTGGCCGCAACATTCAAGGCAATTCAAAGCGGCAGCCCCATGTTAGAAGGGAACACGCCCTCATACTTTGAAACTTGCATAAAGTTTTACGCCAAGTACACGCGGCGTTGTGGGGACATACCCCTATTTGCAAAGGAACCACCCTCCACCCGTGTAGCTGCTGCTGCCGCTCGGACGAGTGTGCGCGGTGCTAGGGCGAGAACACCAATTTGAAGAAGTACAGGTCTCCATCCGAAAACTTTCGTACAGTGTAACACCTCACGTAGAGTCTTTGATGGAGCCACCTGCGAACACCCATCTTGGAAACGGACCAACCTCCATCATTGTAACTACTGCAACATGCCAAGAGAATGCGCACGGCGTGAAAATAAACAAACACAGATTGAATTGCCCTGGCGATGTGCCCAACCCTTGCGCAACGTGATAAGAGCTGGAACAAAAATACAAGGGCTGATAACGTGGCAAGGACTTACACCTTTTTATTGCGAACGCTATCTGGGAGGCTCGCCAAGATGCGCGACTCAGAGGGCACCAGTCGATGGACAAGGGCTTGATGGAGGAGGTGATTCATTGTTTCCCTGGCTCAAATTAAAAATAGCACCCCCCACCAGCAACTTTTGAAAGTAGCAGCGCTTTCCCAGAACGCGCCTCCCAGAGGGAACGGTGAGGTCTAACCTAGGTCTGCGGCAGGTGCCAACGATGCTGCCCCGCCACAGCAGCCCTCGACCTGAGTCTGGGTTTGGCCCTCGGTGTGCTACTCCCCCCCGAGCAGCCCTAGAGAGAGTGGCGACCGCGTCGCAAACCGCAGCCCCCCAGGGATGGCGACGGTTCATCCGAGCCTGGGTATGACCCCACTGCGCTGCCACCCCCCAGCAGCCCTCGAACGTGGCGACAGTGTCGCCTGTGGCCCCCCAGGGAGGGATGGCGAGGCCTCGTCCATGCTGGGGTAGGACCCCACGGTGGGTGCTGGCCTCCCCCAGGAGCCCCCAGAAGTGGCGACCGCCTCGCAGACCGCAGCCCCGCCGGGATAGCGAGGTCGAACTCTGATCTGCGCATAACCCCACTGCGCTGCCCCCCCCCCGGCAGCCCTGGACAGTGGCGGCAGGCTCGCAGGCCGCAGCCCCCCAGGGATGGCGCGGTCTAAGCAGAGTCCGCGTATGGCGTCACTGTGCTGGCCCCCTAGCAGACCCCGAAAGTGGCGACCGCTTCGCAAACCGCAGCCCCCCAGGGGTGGCGAGGTCCAATCAGAGTCCGCGTATACGAGAGAGGTACGAGACAAGAAGAGAGAGAGAGAGAGAGAGACAGAGACAGAGACAGAGTAAGAGAGAGAGAGAGAGACAGAGAGACAGCGAGAGAGGAGGGAGGGCAGCGGGAGGGAGGAGGAAGGAAGAAGACGCGACCACAGTGCTATAACCAAAACGAAAACCCGACCAAATCAGGTTGGGACAGACCTGGCCTCTATCCGGGTATCCGTTGGAACTTCTCAACTTTGGCTGAATACGCCGACAGCGAAACGGACGTACACGTCTGGTGGAGCGAAAGGCAGGAATTCTTGCAAACGAGGAAAACAGGATGGAAAGAGGGACGAGGTGGGATGAGGAGAACAAAGAACGGAAGGAATCTGCCGATGAGGGTCCGCTCATTCGCACACCTGGCGACATAGTCAAACAACAGCGTGTCACCAGCATCGAGCAGCCCAGCACAGGGATCAGCACACCGTCTACCAGATATCGAGTCCTACACAGGCTGGTGCTGTAAAAACTGCTGGTAGGCCTCCCCTTTCGGCCAAGGTCTCGACGCGCTGTGATTTGACAAGGGGAACGAAGAATGGCATAAACATAACGACTCGGAGGTCCGCGCGGATTTCTTGGTTCCGCGCTAGATACCCGCCTCCATGGCGCGCTCCCCGCGCCAGGGGCGGCGCCGGAGGCGCCGCCAGGGGGCCCCATCGCCGATCCGAGAAATCCGCGCGGACCTCCGAGTTTTTACGTTTATGCCATTCTTCGTTTCCCTAGATTTGACCCTGGGCCCGTCTTATCATCCCAAAAATGGGACAGCTGAGCCAGGATCCAGTGCGCAGTTGGTGTTCTGGTGGCATATGTCGCAGGAGGCCGCTCCAGGAGCGCGGGGCGACAGCAATTTCTGTGGTGCGCGGGAGCTCCTCGGGGAAGCAACTGCCATGCTCATGGTGTGCTGCGTTGACACGGCGTGTTTCGGGGGGGGTCCATAGTGTCGTCTCCTCGTCCTTCCCCACATGCATCCTCCCTCCCGCCCCCCTTGACCCCTCCGGTCTGCATTCACCCCCGTACCTGCTCCTCTTCCTCCTCCTCCTCCTCCTCCTCCTCCTCCTCCTCCTCCTCTTCCACACCATCACCGTCCCCCACGTTATCACGAATGCACTTACGATGAGTAAAGCAATGCTGTAAACGTCGAGCACATTTTGCGTCGTCAACCACAATGGTGAGTATAGGGAAGCCCAGGGTATCATGCGCCAAGGCTCCCATTCATGCACGGGCATCTGGATTCGCGTGCCTTGTGGCAGCAGCGCTAAACCATCTACATCATCCCAACGATATTAGGGATCTGGCAGATGAGTAGATGAAGCATCCTTCAGAAGCTGTCGGAATGGTAAAGAGACATGCGAATTGCACCGGGGCATCAAATCGGATATTGGGGTGCGGGGAGAGCACCGTGGATGGATGACAGATCTCTCTGTT